TGGGCGCATTCGGGAGGCGTGGGGCCAGGCAGGTTGCGTGCCCGGGGGCGGCAGGGAGCGCTCAACCTCAGACTGTGTGGGGGCCGCAGGGACTGTTCCTGAGGTGGTGCGGGGCTCTCCTAGCGTGATCCGGAACCGCGTGAGGAGCCGTCGCAGGTGCCAAGCTCTTACCGGTTTCTGTTGGGTTTTAATCGGTGAAAGCCTCAGCCCTGAGACGCGTACTGGCCAAGAAGCCACGATATTAGCGGCCAGGGAGTGAGGAACGGGTGGCTTCATGCGTGACAGGCTGCAGAGGGGAAGGAAACTACTGACTGGGTGCACCTGAAGCTGCTGCATCTGGGAAATTTGAAAGTGCTGTAACTGAAAAAGCTGAGCTATGAGCCTGGAGTAAAGTGAACCGTGTCTAACATATACATGTGGTCTTTTGTTTTTTAACCAGTTACAGAAAGATTTGGAAGAGGTTAAAGAATTGCTTACGAAAGCCACGAGGAAGCGACTTCGTGATGTCCTAATGACAGAGAAACACAAACTAGAGCTAGAAATCAAGAATCAGCCCCCACCGAAGCCAAAAGATGCAGGAGAGGAAGAGAAGTCGTCACTGGGGGGCTACACAGTGAAAATAAACAATTATGGTAGGATTGCTTTTCTGAACGCTTGCAAGAGCTCAGGCATTTTCTGAAGAGAAGCAGGGTGGCATTAGTGTGAGTTACAGTTGCTTTTAGCATTGTAGGGAAGCCATCTCCAGGGTTTATTTCATATGGGAGACCCCACTGTAAAAGCTACCATGTACTTACTGTGCCTGCCCCCCCACACACACACTACAGTGTGTATTAATTCTGTTTGTGTGATAGTACTGGTGAGTGGGATGCGTTAGTGATCCCCAGTGTGCCAGCTGGGATTTGTTCTATTGCCTACTGTTCAGCGGGAACAGAAGAGTGAGCTTTGGCTTCTCTGCTCGCCATGTAGGTAAAAGGAGATGGAATTGCTCAAGATTGTCACGCGGGGAGCAGGGGAAAAAGTGGGTCAAGGAAACTGCAGCAAAAGCAGACGGCTACTTCTGACTCCCCCTGCGCAGGCAGGATTGCTCTCCTTTTACCTGAGCTGATACATATTTTTTCTTGGAATTAGGGTACAGGGCTATATGTGAGCACCTCCTTTTGCTCTCCACTTGTTCCTGAATAATTCATGTCTTTCCCCTATCCGGCTGACGACTGTTTTAGTGGGCATGGTGGTATTAGGTCAACGGTTGGTCTTGATGATCTCAGAGGTCTGTTCCAACCTTATGATTCTATGACTCAATAAGGCAGAGATCCTAGTCATTGCTAGGGGACTTTGTGGAGGGAGTTGGAATGGAATGTGTGAAGTTTACAGAGGAAAGGACTTAATCTTTTTTTCCACGTGCAGGTTGGGATCAGTCAGATAAGTTTATTAAGATTTACATCTCTTTAAATGGAGTCCAGAAGCTTCCAGCTGAGAATGTGCAGGTGAATTTCACAGAGAGGTGAGTTCATCTTGTTGCACTACGCCACAGGGGAGAGCATGGGTGAAGAACACCATTTGAAATGCAGGAAAGTGTTGTCTGGAGTTCTGTTCTGGATCAGGTCTTGCCAACCGCCCCCCCCTCCTTTTTTTTTCTTTTTTAAACTTGAGCAATATTAGCTTTTAGTAGCACTTTGCACATACTCCTAAGTATGGCTCTCCTTAGAGGGTATCAGCATATTTTAGTTTTACAAATGCTTGTTGCACCTCATCACGCTTGACAGGAAATGTAGTGTTAGCCCTGGTTTTTGATGGCGTTAGAACTGAAGTGTACATTAAGTAAATCTGCCTTTCCAAGGTTGTAGGAGACCAGTGAGGTAGAAAGAACCCTAAAGGTCTTGATCTGTTGTGAAGTCTGGATAGGTCCTTTTACGTCCTCAGTATTAAATCCAAATGACGATTTGAGAGCCCTGCAAATAAAGTAATTCAGGCCTGTTGACTTGCTTTCCCAAGAAACGTGCCTGCTGAGGGGCTTTCGGACATTGTTTTTGGTGGCAAGGCACAGTAGCCTTGCAATGATTGGGGTATTTGTGCCTTTTTTCCTCCACTTTCTCTTTCCAGGTCGTTTGATCTGCTAGTGAAGAATCTGAATGGGAAGAATTACACCATGACCTTCAACAACCTCCTGAAACCCATCTCTGTGGAAGGCAGCTCTAAAAAGGTCAGTGCGCGCCGGCTGTTGGAGGTATTTAGGTCCCTCACAAAGTACCGTGTCAGACTCTAGTTCAAGAGACTCAGTGCTAACCTTCAGTGCCTCCTTTCTGTCTGTAAGGTCTCTTCACTGGGAACGTGATTCTTATTAATCTGTAATTGTCGTAATTGTGGAATTATTCTCTGGAATCCGTGGGCTTCTATTTCACAAGATCATGTCTGCATATTTTATGCTTTTTTATAGCTCTCTGACAGGATTTCAGAAATAATTAAGCAGAAAATTCCACTAAGCATCCAGTGCTTTTAAATACCTCTGAGAAATTCTTTGCAATTCTAAGGTCTGAGACACTGAAATCTTGGGAAGCTTAAATCAGCATAATACCCAAAGCAAAGTCTGAAACCTGCTCTGCCTTCGTAAGGGTGTGCTCCTCTGGAATTGACTGCTAGTGACACTTCACTGCTGATGGCTGCAGCTGGTGATGGTGTCCGTATGCCACTACTCGTAGCACCTTTCTGGGCTTAGGGATGTCTCAGATACCTTGTGTGTGTTCTGTGCAGTTGTGCGCTGCACTTAATGACATCAGAGGTAAAGAAATGATGGTTCAATTCGAAATTGCTCTAAATCTAGGACAGTGTGAAATTAAAACAACTGAAATAAATGAGGGTGATGCTCTGGTGATTTTAAATGTGGCATAAAAGCGAGCAGTGGTCATGTATTTGCTAAGCTAAAGCTCCAGCAGACTCTTGCCCGCTGTGGTATGCAGGAGTTCTTTGCGAAATTTAGGTCAGGGTTGCAATTAAACAGGCTTTGCTTGTAGCTTGCAAACGTATTGCAAGATAAGCAATGCCCTAAAGCTAGTTTCTTATCCTTGGAGAAATAAATTGGGAGAGCCTCTAACTGAACTTGGTATTCTTGGAGAAGTCTAATAAATACAGCCACCCTTCACCCAGCAGTCCTGGGTACTTTTGGCATCCTGAGAATCACCCAATGGTGTTTCTGCAGCACTGTGTGTTCTTCTGTAATGGTACTGTAGTACTGTACTGGTATTACATTAATCACACCATTTAAATTGTCCACCACGAGGTTAATACTTTGTACCCTGAAGCTGCGTACACTCTGTAATTCCTATATGCCACATAATAATCAATAGCTGAGATAAATGTTTCAGGAGTTTGTGAGTATAGAAAGAGGTTTACGTTACCAGTGAACCTTATTCATTGTAGTTGTGACTGGTGTCCCCTTGTGAAGCATTTTAAATTCGTGCCTTGCTGTTCCCCATATAGATAAAGACAGACACGGTCCTTGTGATGTGTAGGAAGAAGCGGGAGGAAAAATGGGAATGTCTCACTCAAGTGGAAAAAGAAAGCAAAGAGAAAGAGTAAGTGTCTCTTCAACCCTCCATCTCGTTTTCCATTTCTTGTTCTCCAGATTGCTTTAGGACTGCCAGGAGAGCAGCTCTGTGCTGCACTGACTGCAGTCAGGCTTTGAGAATTGCTGCTCTGGGGGACAAGCCCCTAAGATGTTGGAGAATCCTTAGGTTGGGATTTTTTTGGTACTAGTAGGACTGGCAGTGAGGAGATACACTCCTGAGTCACTGTCTGCCATTTTTCCACTGTTGTATTGCAAATGATGAAGGCTGCATCATGGGGAATACGATAGATAAGACTTGTAGCAAGAGTGGTAAAGGTAATCAGTTAGTCATTTACATTTTGATGGCTGCATTCATTGCAAAAACTGCTCTAGCAAGGTTGCCTTTCTTTAGGTTAAGTGTATATTATATAGAAATATGTCTATACTCCCTGCAGCTATGCTCGTCGAAATAGTTATTGTTTTGTCACCTGTATGTGAAATGCCTGCACAAAAAGCCCAGCTTTTGGCAAAACAGGTCTGTGCTTACCTACATCATTCTACAACCTCTCAAGCTAATTTGTATTGCTTCAAGTGCCTGGGAGCAATCCTACGAGCAGCTTAGACGCTGTCTATATAAGGGTGGTAAATTACAGCAGGAAACACCTGGGGACAAGAGACATCTATTTTTTATAGGGGGGGGTGTGTGTGTATATATATATATATGTATGTATGTAAAATGTAGTATATCTTAAATTTATATTCTTCTACAATGCACACACTTGTTCTTATCCAGAAGAGAATGTGTATACCCACCTTGAAGCATGGAAACACTCGCTTTTGAGAAAGTTACCCCTGCCAACAGCTATTCATTTTGTGTATGTTTATAGGGTGATTTGGTAAAACTCATTAGTCCGAACTAACCATACCTGAGTTTAGGGCAAAACTACCTTCCCTTCCCAAATGCCGTCACTGGAGATTAAGAGAAGGTGACCTGCCTGCTAATGCAGGTTGCTGGAAGGACTGACGGGGTCGTTCTGTTAAACCTGTATCTTGAGCAGAGAAGTCCTGCGCGCTGCCCAGCCGGTCACCGTTAGTATTGCTGCCTCGTTCCAAGTGTCGAGGGTTGCAGTATGACAAAACGAGTCGCTGCAGAAAATCACCTCCTGCTGTCTGTGAGGCGCCGTGCCTGGGGAACGTGCTCCCTCTGCTGATCTGTTTTGAGCTGCACGCTTTTCAGATGGCTGCAGCTGCACTAGTAGCTACCTAGAGGATCCTAGAACACAGGCTGGAGCGAGGCAGCTTTGCCAGAGAGGGCATTATGTACCGTGGGGTAGTGTGGGGCGTGGCGCACCCAGGCGCTTACCGTGTGGGGGGCACCATTTGTCAGTTGGCTTCTTAAATTGAGAGAATTGCTTTGAAATGCAAGGTGTTAAAAACGAGTCAATTAACCTCTGGAGATAATCTGAAAAATAAGAAGCAGAAGACTGGCCTTTTGGGTTGTGAATGTGGCCGCTTCAAATTGTTCAGTGTGGTCATTTTTCCATTTTTACTCAGTTTTCACATAACAGCACAGACAGATACTTGCACTTCCTGTGTCTTACATTCCACTCTGGCTTCCTAACATTAACGTTGGGTGGTGCTTCAAGGGTCATGTTTACTGCAAAATGCTTCCCATCGTCCTTAGTGGGACAGCTCTAGGTGTACTCCTCAACTTGCACTTAGTTTAAGGGATTTAATCCCTTCAGGATTCTCCCTGCTTGGAAGCTGACTGAGTCATGACTTCAGCCTGTCAGGGTCTGAAGACTGCCAAAGCAAAATCCTCACTGTTACCAGGATGTTTCAAACAAATACTAGCGTTTCATATTTTGCACAGAGTTGCTGGATATACCTGATCTTCTCATATGTATCCATCTGCAGGAAGGCTGCCTATGACACCGCAGATCCTAGTGAAGGGCTTATGAACCTTCTAAAAAAGATGTATGCGGAAGGGGATGATGAAATGAAGCGCACCATCAACAAGGCCTGGGTTGAAAGCAGAGAAAAGCAATCCAAAGGGGACATACCAATGGATATTTGAAAGTATTCTTAGGGGCGCCTTAATACTGATCTTCCATGTGAGACACGCTGTGCTGCAAAGATCATTGTTTACACAACCTTCTTCCAAGCAAAGACAGTCATTTTCCATTTCAGGTTGGAGAAAATATTTAAATAAAATAGCTTATAAAGCATTTCCTTCAGTCAAGTGGCTCACCATTTCCTGAAGAGTGGAGCATAGGTATATCCTTACCCCTCCTTGAAAAAAGCATCTCAGCCGAGTGGAGAGTGTTGTGAAACAGAACAGAGTGTAAAAGAAAAGGAATCCTAAACTAGGATGAGTCGAGGCCTCTGTTGCAAGTGACAGCTGTACCCATCTGGTTGCTGGGGCTCATGTCATGCTCACTGCAGGGGGTGTGGGTTTTTTGATTAGATATGGGAAAGTAATGGTGAACTGTAAAGCATGTCACAAAGGGAGAAATGCTGAAGAAAGCAGAAGCACCATCTCAAGCACTTGATAGTTGAGCAGAAACAATATGGTGTTAATCCTGTGCTATTAAAATGTAATGATTACTCTCAGATATTACTTACTGGCTGTTTAATGTCTTACAAATTCTAGAAATGAAAACAGCTCTTCAGCGCCTATGCTGTGACCTCCTTGGGGTGTCTTTGAGGTGGCATCAGTTGCAGGAGGGCAGTGAGCTGCTGGTGCTGGACAGTGAGTTTGCCCTGGCTCTAGCAGCGTATGAGCCAGAGAGACGAGCTCCACTTTCTCCTATCAACGTTCAAGGGTTTTAAGGTAACAGAGTAAGAGGTACATTGAGATAGCTTACACTCCAAAATTTGACTCAATTGGGGGTGGTGGGTTGCTGTCAATTTGCTGCCCGTGTGGCTTCCATCAGGCGGCAGTAATGTTTTACCTGGCCTGTTTATTGCAGGCTCTCGGCCCCGCTGCTAGGGAGAGGGACGGAGTAGCCACTTCCCCTTTACTGCCCTGCGGTGAAGAAGAGTACAGGGCAAACATGAGCTTAGCAGCAGGCTTGTTACTGTTTCCTTCCTGCTTCCTTATGTGTCTCCCAAGGACAGGTTTGTTTGATGTTACCTTACAAATTAAAGCAGCCTATTGTGGTCTGGACTAGGACTTGCTACCTTGTTCTTAAAGCGTTGGACCAACCACTGCACTACGAGCAGGACCAATACTAGCATGTTGTAGTTTCTAATAGGTCCTTTATCCACCTTGTCTGCTTGTTAATATACATCTATTAAGTTTGCATAGCGAGAGTATCTAAACTTGAGGCCATGTTTTGTTTTCAGTTTGTGTTCACCCTTGTTCGTGGCAGAACAGCACTTTGCCCTGTTATGCATTTATGCTTTTACCCAAATTACCATGGTGAATTTACCGCATGGTGGCAAAAAAACTGCTTAAACAAGCCTTGTGCTGTATGTCTTTATTTCTAACGTTGCCCGTATTGCAAACCTCAGCTTCGTTCTGCAACCATCAGGTAGTGACTTTTTTTCCTCAAAATAAAACTGCCTCTCCTACAGACCAGTTAGCGCAGTTCTGCTGCTTCTTGTCAGCTGCTACCAATTGTGATCCAGTAAGTGAGGTTAATATATCAGCATGGCTTCTCCTCCTTCCCTTAATAGTTTGATATTAATGCTGGACTTGTAAGCAGGACAGTCTTGCTTTAATTACTCAAACATGCAAACTGGGCCTGTTTCATGTTTTCTGCCTGAATGTACATCCATGCAGTGATCTACCACATAGCCCTCTGTATCCCAGACATCTCAGCATGGTCAGCAAAATGGCGGAAAACGATTCTGCTGAGCCTCCAACGCCGCTTCACCCCCCGAGGGCGGGATGTCAGGACACACCTATTATGGATCCTCACAGGGCAGCTGTCCCGGGGCAAGGCAGCGATCTCTTTATCAGCCACTTCCTAAAACAGAAGACCACAACATAGAGTTTATCTGTGTTCCCCATGAGTTTGAGGGGGCTTATTGCCAGACCTCAAAATCTAGCTGTAGAGTAGGTACCACCACAAGCTTCTCTACCACCTCATGAGTATGCTTTGCTATTTGATAGGGAACTTGTGCCTGCCTGCCTCACTTGACCCTTTCTTTCTGGGCATCCCAACAGTCAATGTAAAAATGATCCACATGGAGACCCCAAAATTAACAGACTGAACAACCTCATGCCAGTAATTACAGTTAGTCATAGCCAGGGTGAGCTAGTCCTTTAAGATGAGCTGGACTTAAATTTGTGTTCCTTATTAACTCCCTTCCCAAGTAACATGCTTTGCTGTCAGTAAAAGGGATCTCAATACAGTATACTTTGGAAGGAGTTACAGCCAGAGGAGGACAGGTCAAAGTATCTGTTCCAAAGAGAAGGTTTAAGAAAGATCTTTCTATCTACAAAAGAGCTCAACCGTTTTCAGGAAGCAGCAGGTAGCAGCCATTGAAATGTCAGAACAGGCAAGCTCAGCAAGGAAATGCAGCCTAAAGGAAGTTGCTTGAGGCTAGGTAAGCGTCCCTACACTTAATATGCTGAAGGGCAGAAGGGCTCAAGGAATCCTTTGTCACAGCTGGAGGTAAAAGGAAGGTCTGAGGCTGGACAACAAAAACTCGTTAGGTTGCAGGCGTGCTGAAAAGCAATAGTGTAAGGTTATCTTCTAAAAGGATGTTTGCCTTCAAAGGAAGATGGCATCAAGGCAGCAGCAATGTGACTTTCAACTTCAGCAACAGCAAGATCAGCTGGACTTCTTGTCTTCAAAATGTATTTCAGTTACTGGTTTTGTCCAGTTGTGCATCTTATCTGTGCATAAAGCTCCACCTATACACTCTACCAAGTACAGCCAAACATTTACAGTATTTTATTACCTATTTAATTCCTAGGATTTTATTCAGAAAGTAGTCTGTGTTTTCAGAGAAAACTTGTAACTTACTTTTAAGATTTTAAATCTGGAGCCCAAATAACATCTTGTAGGGGAGGAAAAAAGTTACTTTCCTGGAGTCTTTTTCTTCATTCTAGCTGCTGCTATGACTTAGTGACTTCAAAAGGTGACAAAAGCAGCTGAGGAATACCAAGACTAAAGCCAGTAGCAATCTTTTTTTTTTTTTTTTTTTGTTCTGTAAGGACAGCCAATACAGACTAGACTCGCCAAGAGAATGGTAAAGTCAGTATATAAAAGCATATTCATACACTTTCTCTCCCAGTTTAAGCGTGAACAGATCTCACCACAACTAGGTGTAGCCAGATCAAATATGTACAGGATATTTGCAAATGAATTTAATGCTTAGTAAGGACAGCTAAGTGCAGGGCAGTGAATATGTGCATTTTTAAGAACAGATGTAACACCCAGATCTGATGTAGCTTTTACTTGCTTGTAGCTCAGGCAAAGAGTAAAACTAAGTATTTCTAACTGAACTGGTGGGTTTGGCTGCATCAGGCTTTAAATAAACACAAAAATCTAAAGTTTATTTAGGAAACTATAGAAGTAACCATGTAATATCCCATATTGTTAGAAACAAGGCAAACAGTTTTCTGAATGTATGTTAGTGACAGCTGTGAGGGGAAAAAAACAAGACTTCATCATATGTAGTGTTACATATACTACTTACATGAGCAGCACTGGTTTAAAAAAACCACAGACCAACCAACGCACACAGCCTCTAGTCAGTTGAATACACTGTTGTTGTAAATACCCCCAAAAGGCAGCCGCTCTGAAGATGCCTGGGCACTAACAGTAACTGTGCAAGATGACACGATTCTGCACTCATGAGTTAGGGAAACGGATCTGTTTGTGACCTGGCACGGCCACCCAGATCTGTAAAGCGGCCGCTGCAGCCCAGGGCACGTCACAGCAGTAGGAGCCATGCGTGGGCTTGTGCCTGGCCCCGGCTGGGGCTCTGCTGCCCGGTACCTGCAGCTCCTTGGGAAGGATGGTGTTCTTCCGGATGGCGTTGATCCGCAGCCTCTCGTCTGCATACTCGTACGCCAGTTTCCTTCTCTTGACGTCCCGCAGCATCCTCCAATCCACGTAGTAGCTCCGCACTTGCCTTGTGCAGGCTGAGGGGAGAACCTAATTAAAAAAATTAAGTTTATAATACCGAACTGCCGCACGTATAGTTTGCCCAATTCCAGTATCAGTTATTCCCACAGACGTCTCTTTGTCCGTCTTCTTCCATTTACTTCCCTGCAGTGCACCTCCCGCCCAAAAAAGGTAACGTGTGATCCAGCTTAGGTCACAGAAGCCAGTAAGAAATTTACGATACTGGAGACACAAATAACCCGAAGTTACACCCATATCCGCGTTGTTCCCGCCGCCGGCGAACCCCGGGGCTCAAGCGAGATTCGGGCT